AGAACAGAATCGGGCCAAGATGATTACCTTGCGGAACACCTGAAGAAACATTAATTGTATCTGAAATATCACTCGTTGTGTTCTATTATAAAGATAGGAAGATACCCATTGAAGAAATCTTGGCTGAAAGCCCAGCAGATCAAGTTTATGTATGAGAATCGAGAGATTTACTTTATCGAAAGCTTTGCTAAAGTCTGTGTGTATAACATCCGTATGCTTATGTTCCTTATAACCCAATGATACATAGTTTACAAATTCAAGCAAGTTTGTTATAGTCGAATTCCCTTTACGAAATCCATGCTGAGATGAGGAAATTAACGGAGAAATCGAAAAGGTTATATGGTCAGTGATGATAGCTTCAAAAAGTTTAGGTATAACTGATAGTTTTGCGATACCTCTATTGTTTTCAATGTTGGATCTAAATCCACTTTTACTCAATCAAAATCTCTTTTTGTGTAAACAAGCATTAAATTTCACATCCAGGATGGTAAAGAAGGGGTCTTTAGGATCTAGTGTGAAAATTGAATAAGGGGCGTGGCACCGCTCACGGTAAAATCCTATATCGAAGAAACTACTCGACCGATTTCAAACAAATTTTAGTATAACGTTACCCAAAAATTAATATTAGACACTGCAAAAATTGGCGAAATCGGATGATAGTCCCCTATCTCCCATATACAAACTTTTATTTTCCGTCTGATTCTTTCACTTTGCAGTAAACAAATCAAACATCAATAAAGTTATCAAAATAAAACTTTGCATAAATATTGCTTTCAAGGTATTTCATCATACGTCCAAAAATTGTCGAAATCGTACTATAACTTGTGCCAAAAGTAGGTACAAGCAAATGAACACTTCCCTTAACACCCATATACCTAACATAAACATTTTCGAATCTCCGGTTCACTTTATACGGCATCTATCGGTCAATATGTAAGAAACTTAATGAAATTCAGAAAGAATCTTTTTCTAATAACAGAGTATCCTCTTTCCTTAAATGAATGAAATCAAGGCGATACTTTTCTTAATTTGATAAAGTTTTGCTACAACTTGAAGGTGTTCCTCCGATTTTGTTCCCTGCAAGTTACAAGAGTATAAAATGTTCGGTTACACCCGAACTTAGCCCTTCCTTACTTATTTTAATTACATTTGCAGAAAATTTCCGAAGCTTGGTGTGAAACGTTAACCATTTGTTGGTCCTCAAATACGGCGGTTCATGATAAATACAGATTTTATTAATTTTATAACTGTTCCGGAAAGTGAAGCTTAGAAAAGTTCGGTATTGATAGTGGAAACTATCTTGAAGAAATTGTGCAAAATATGTTGACAAGCTTAAAAATTCTAAGAGCAAATACGAGTATCAAGTTAGACTATATCCGCAATCGTCTGGATATATCCAGATAACTTAGAAAATTATATTGAGAAACGGAGAGAACGGTTCTACTAGGGCTAAAAGTGATGGAAGAGCAGTATCAAAGTTGATGGGATCGTCCTATTATGGCAGATTATTGCTCATTCTTAAAAAGAGATTGTCAACTGAAAAATAATAAAGGAAAAGCTCATAAAATGATTGAGATATAACATATGTTTTTGAAACTTGTCACTCTGTTTACTTTGATGTATCCTTATTTTTCAAAATAAAACTGGTATAACCAATAAATCTGTTAATTTTTCATGTTTTCTTATTTTTCTAATATCGGGTGAAACTAAAGATTTAAAAATAAACGAGAGCAAATCTTACAAAATCATTGATAGTACCATGAATTGTGAGCACAAATATATCCAAAATCGGTCGATTCGGGCAACGAAACCACTGTAGACCTGTGTAATTTATATTTTTCAAGGGAATACATACAAATTTAAGAGAATGTTTTTGAAATTGAAAGAGCAGTAATCATCTTTAATAAAAATATTTGCAGAATTTCTCCACACATTATTTCTTTGACCATCGGTATATGACATATCGGTATATGATTCATGGCATATCTAAGTAGTAGCGAGTAACTGTTAAAGTAAATTGAGTACGAAGCAGACAGCAAAACTTCGCAGCCATTTTACATTTTAATCAACCACCAACACACATCATAATGGCGAAGGGATGGCTCCAGTACTCTGAGAATTTGTGAGTGGCTCTGGTAAACTACAAAAGCAGCCAAGCAACCACCCACAATTAAATGGTTGCCAGACTTTGGGGATGAATACCATAAGAAAGAAAATTTACAGCAAGTACAACTAAAAAAAACTTTAAAAGTTTACGCAAAAAGCAGTTTTAATACATAAGTGAAGGTTCGATACATCGATTTCTGGTGAATTTTGTTAAACATTCTGACAGAGGGTCACTGTGCAACTATCAACATTAATAAGTCTACATGTGTATGTCATGGCATATCTCAAAAACAAAAGGCACTTACACATATGTAAATATTCGTATCTGAATACAAGTATATGTATGTATGATTGAAGAACCACATAACCGTAATCTGTAGCACAATACAAGTAAAAGCGTGCGTGCAATGCGCATGTCATGAACTCTGGGATGTTCAAACATACTTATCTACACTTAAGAGTATACGTCACATACACACATACGCACACTCACAGAATTCGTATTCGCTTGAATACACAACCAGCAACGACTTTTAGCCGGCAGTGGAGCGGCTACTGGCACCACTTCAGCAAATTGCACCAGTTAAACACACAAATATGCCGAAGGATCAGCGAACAATGCCAACGATTGTAATAGACAGCAGTAGACAGCAGCAGCAGCAGCGGCAATAAAGGCTGCAGCAACAACCGGCTCACAGCCTCATTAAAACAACAACCGCTGTGACACTCGTAAAAGCGAATACCAAACTCTCATTGAGTCGCTAAATAAATGTGCGGTAATTAAGTACCTTGCTAATTAATGAGTCCAGCCGCTGCACTAACAATCACATTAACGAGAATACAGCATTAGTAGCCACATACACCAGCAAAGCAGGAGGGAGGTTCAAGCCCCACAGAGACAATGTGTGCATGTCGGACTGAATGTGTGCCAGTGGTGTATATGTATTTAACTGAATTGTTGTTTGTCTGTCCGCCATTGTTCTTAACTGAAGCAGGAGTGGGAGCAATATTGTAGAGACCTTAGCTTGCAATTTGCGCACTGCCCTCAGGGTCATTCGCTAGCTATGGCAGCGTTTCTCCGTAATTATCATTACCAGAGTACACATTATCGACATTGACAATGGCAACAATAATGCTAGCAACAACGGTCTGTACAGTAATTCAAAATGAATACCACGTTAGTCAAAATAGTTTTCTTTGACTTCGCGAATTGTTGCAATAAAATTATTATTACTTTTTTGGGATATGTCAGCTGTTAATACTCAAAGAGCTAAACCAACTTTAGAACAAAACGGTTTTTAAATTACAGTGTATTGATCCCGAAGTAAATACGATTTATTGATAAATACTTAAAATAGATAATTTAATGGAAGACGAAGCAATGTTTAACTATACTAATGCTGTAATCATGGTTTAAATGAATAGTTGACTATGCAAGCACCCACAATAATATTTTTGGGAGTTGCCTAACATATTTATATTTAGTAATTCTTGGGTTGTGAACTTTTACGTAGTTTTTGTTGGTAAAATAACGTCCACTGATTTCATATATCTTCAAAAGAGCAATTCTCCACGGTAAGCTAACCGAGCACAGCTGTAATGACTGTTATTGCAGTGCCAACAACAAAAACCTCGCGCTCCTTCCTCTACGAGTGCTCCAGACCAACCGGTCGATCCGCCAACACTGCTGCGCCATTCCAGAAACACAATTTCCATGTATTTTTGCTGCCTGTTTTATTAGCTGTTATTTCGAGTGGTACGTTAACGACTATCGAGTTAAGTCAATTTGAGTGGCTGACTGGCGGTAGGAATGTCGGCGAGCCGCCTAGCTGATGGATGTCTGCAGACAGATTGCGGGTAGTAGGCGACAGTCATTCAGCCATTGATAGAGTTAATTGTGTTTTATTAACACAAACACGACGATAACGTGTTGATGATGATGGACGCCATTGTGTTTATAATGTGTGTAGTTAGTTAATTTGCGTGCTACAAGAGCTTGGTGTATACGGGTAAGCAGAGGCGTATACATACAAGTAGTTTTTGGTGAAGAGATTTTGAGGGTGACTCCCCGGAATTTCTAGTTTATTAAATACCTAAGCAAGTGGTAGAAAAGGCGAATATTTATTTCAATAACATACGTTCTATTAGAAATAGATAGATAGGTCGATTGAAATGAGAAAAAGTAATATACACAATCAGAAAAGATATCTTCACAAAATACGATTATATAAATATTTAACGCATTACTACAATATCTGAAGAAATTTTTAAAATGGATCACTATAGCATATAGCTGCCATACAAACCGACCGATCAAAAATTTCTTGTATGAAAACTTTTTTATTTGTGAAGGGTATTCTACAATAGCTTCGGTGCAACCAAAGTTAACGTTTTTTCTTGTTTCTACAAAGTTGTTGAAATAACATTGGTATATGGAGATCAATGCCCTAAAAGGTGGAACTGCAATTGAATTAATAGTTTCATGCATGGCTTACTTAGAAATACAATTTTGATTGCACAGCTCTCTCTCTCTCTCTCTTCCACACATTTAGTATTTAATAAAATCCGAATCAAATCTAAAATAGATTCGCATAAATAAGTACGAGTATTTTCAGGAGTTTACTAGTTCCAAAAAATATTCTCTTAATATTGATAGAGTATTCACCAAGAAGTGTAATCGAAAATCGCCAAAACATAAAACAAATTTCCAATTAAAATATCAATCAAACCAAAACTCACTAGAGCATAACTGAGTCATATACATTCATATGTACATACATATGGTACATATAAATAAATAAATGGGAGAGCAGTGGTGGGTGAATTTCGGACTTCATTCACTCATTCATCCATATTTATGTATAAGTAGGCACACATGTAAGTATTTCAAAAATCGACATTTTAGAAAGCTTTTAGATTTGATACAAAAAAAAAATATACTGAATTTCAAAGATTCGTAGTTTCAATAGAAAATCACATTTTGCATCTCATAACCATAAATGAAACGAAATGTGAGTACAACATACATATGCATATGTATATTTGTATTATTGAGATCTAAACGCATAGGCAAACAAAAGCATACCCACACATAAGCATAGCCAACCCACCTGCCGAGCCGCCACTGATGAATGCAAAAAACAAAGATGGTTCCGATCCTTCCAAAAAGCCACAAAATTCATACAAATAAAATCATCATGTTTGCTAAAGTAAAAGCCAGTCAGTATATCCAACATTCAACACGCAGTTAAAGTGGGCCCCCTTCCCGTAAGAATCTGTGTGTGTGTGTGTGGGCAAAAGCGCTCTGTTTATTGCCTTGCCAGAAATATACTTCCATTGAAGATTGAAGTCGAAATATAAAAATATCGCACATTGATTTATTCAAAAATGCGATTTGTGTGAAAGCTGAACTGAAGTGTTGATTCATTTGTTTTTTTAATACCCTTTTATTAGCTTGGGTTGTATGTATGTAATGGAATCTTCTAGAAGTCTGATCAACTTGAAACTTTGCAGACGTGTCAAGGACCGATGATAATGCAAGAATTTGATAACAGTTTCCCATTACTTTAAAGGTGGGCGTAACCCCGCCCTTAAATGGTTTAATGTATATATCTTCCAAACCGGTAAAGCTAACTCAACCAAATTTGCTGAGAGAAAGTCCTTTTAGCCCCTTGTTCATACGCTGTGAAAATGGACAAAATCAGTTTTGGTAAAATATACTAAAAATGCGATAACTGACTAAATAAATGCGCCATAAGCATTAATTTTCAGAAATAAGATGGTTGGGAAGAGCTTTATAGGAGGAGGTTTAAAAATTTCTTTAAAGGGTGTTTTTTTAGTTTTTTTAAACTATAATTTATTATTATTATATCAAGTAAAATACTTCAAATTCAATTCAGTAAATAATATAACTTTGAAGCTTATTTTCGTAACACTGTTATTTTTACTACTGAATAAACGTAATATTTTAATTTAATTTCATCAGTACTGGTAGTCCGTATAATATATAGAATGGGCAACCGGGATGTATGAGAGAGGTTACGTTAAGTTTTATGAAAATGTTGTTCTAACTCACCCGACATGTCTTCACTGTGTTCATCGTCGTGCATTTCATCATCACGATCTGCATTACTGCTGCTTGAACCCCAACCACGTCCACCATAATGGCCCAGTGATCCAGTTCTGCCGGTAAATTTATTCGGATCCAAAATATTTTCCACCGAGAACGCTAAACGTTTGGTGGCCTCTTTCTCCATTGAAGCATTTGTCGCCGAGGACGCTGTTGAGGCGGATGTTGGTACTGATCGTCTAAGGTCAACCGGACAGGCCTATTAAGGTAATAAAGGGAAGCATGTTTTATACACATAGCATAAGTAATTAGGAAAAGTATAGATCCACATTTACAAAAAATGATTAGAATAAAGTGACGAACTAATTTAGATACGCTTATTTGTTACGAAACGAACTTGGATTAAACGCAGCATACAAGAATATGTATAAAATTATCAAAACTTTTGGACATTTTAAATAGTTTTGAAAACTAAGCGCTCATTTCAATAAAATATATCCACCACTGGAATTCATTTTACTATGACAGTCGAGTTCTAACGAAATATTTATTAATATTCTGTCATGAATAAAACCAAAAGGCACAGAAATAAAGGATATTGTTTATTTCTTAACAACCGCTGGTCCAATTTATTACAAATATGCTATTTACATTTACTCTTATGCTCTCTGTTCCTAATTCGAAAGTAGTAAATGCTTTGAAAATTGGCAAGGTAACTTTTTGAATACTCTCTGAATACTACTGAATCTCCAATTCCTTCAAAGTTAAAACGAGTCGGTATTACACTGCATTTTCGCTTTTTAGTGTTAAATTCACTTGTGCGGCTATGAGCTCCTCCTGAACCAGACCAACGTGAGAGAAGCTTTGAACTACTTGCTCTTAATAAAGATCATCTTACCGCAATTGTAGTAGTTCTAACTGGACACTGTCCATGCATCTTGTTAGACGCAAATAAGCTATATGGTTCTGCCACTAAGCGAATTAGCTAGAAATAATATTAGCTGTTTTAAGAAAATTTATGGTAAGCTCCAAAAGCTGCGTCTAAGCATGAGGGTCTTTTGATCCATATCTAGGAGCCTAACTGAAAGATAAATTCAAAGTATATAAATTTCACACCAAAAAAGTAATCTAACTAATACAAATATGCGATAAATACCCAAAATTATTCAAACTAAGATAACTTTGCATATTATTTATTACTTGGTTTTACTTTCGTGATATTATATGCGATTTTCTATGAGCCGACTTTGGAGTCATAAAAGCATATTACATTTTATATCAATATATAGCAAATTGCAAAATCGTTCGCAGCTAAATTTGAATTTGAAAAATTCGCAAGACTCACCGTAGGCGTGCCATGTGATCCGTCATTGCTGTCCTCATCATTACCATCCACATTCAACTCCTCACTAGTATCACTGCGTGCGTAATGCGCCGCTGCGATTTGACGTGAAGTGGCCGCAGCTGCAGCTGCTGCCGCCGCCAGACCACCTAACTGTATTCGAAAGCCATAATCACTAAGATCCGGTCGAGAATTCGACGGCGGCAAACACAGACTCGACGCTGCGGCAGCCATAGAGGCAGCAGCGGCGGCGGAGGAGGTACTCGACGCGGAAGAAGCTGAGCTCAAACCCACCGTGGAGCGGGCAGCTACAGCTTGTGCCGCAACCAGTTTAAGCCTTTCCAGATCCATGTCATGTGGCGTTGTGAGTACTGATGACGGACTACAACTGGCCAGTGGGGTGGTATGTGGAAGAGTATGCGGGCCATTGAGCAGCATTGATGAGGGTGGTGTTGACAGTAGGTGATGTTGTTGTTGCGCCGAAAGTGCCACACTTCCACTGACAGTGGAGGCGTTGGCAGAACCAAAGGTTTGTTGTGCAGAATGTTGCTGTTGCTGGTGCTGATGTTGCGGTTGCATGGGTGAGAGCAATTGTGGCTGTTCGGAATGCGGTTGATGTGGTGATGTGGGTAGCGATAGCGGTGAACTGGCTGGTGATGGAAGACGTTGCAAATTCGAAGCAGCTGGTAGTGTCGTCGGCAAACCGACTATGTTTGATAGTGGTGGACGTAGTGGATGAAAATCCGCTAATTGATGATGGGGATGTGGATGTGTGTGATTTGCTGGTGAAAGTTGGTGGAGATGGTGATGTTGCTGATGCTGGTGTTGATGGTGGTTATGCTGATTATGATGGTGTTGCGCAGCAGCGGTGGCAATAAATTGTGGATTTTGCAACAAATGTGGATGCTGTTGCAACAATGCCGCATGTGGATGAGACAATGGCTCGGGACGCGTCAGTTGGCACGAACCATCGTTACTCTCGATTGCCTTACGTAACGGCGGACTATGGTACGTAATTGCCTGTGGTGAAACTGATCGACGATTGTTGGATTCATGGTTGCTGGAATTTGTGCCATTACCATTAGTATTGTAGTTGCTAACGTTATTATTATTATTGTTATTAATTTTGAATTTTTCCATTTCAGCGTGTTCAGGAGGATCACTGGCTTTCGCGGTAGGACTTAGACGATTTACCACATTTAGTTCAGTCATTTGCTTGAGACGCTCCAGCGAATAGCGTAGACTATCGCCATTTGTATTGGGCATTTTGCTGGTAGAAGTCATGGTGGCGGCATTGCTACCGCCAATACCGTCAGTAACTAATAGAGATTGTGGACTAATAATGAATTTCGGTATCTTTGATGTCGACGACGATCCCGCGATTGTAGACGTTGGCGTGGCAGCACCGACGGCATTACTGCATGCTATCTCCGGTGATGTGTTCGATTTGGGCGACTCGGGATTAGAATTCGGACTCAGCTGGTCACCGACGGTATTCGCTGGTAAAGCTTCGGCATTTTTTGCAGGTGACTGAAGCATCACCATTTTGCCGGATATATTTTGAGACACTTTAAACTTATTTTATTAAATTGTGTAAATTTTTGAAATTTTTAGTTGTTCACAAATTTTTACACACGTTTTCGATACACACGACGTTTCGATAAACAATGTTTTTTAAGTATTAACTTGATAGTTCAAAGTTCGATATCGGATTCCTTACACCATGCGTTCACTTGTTGTAATGGCGCTGGCGGACGCCGAGCAAACACTTATATTCCTTGCGGCCGACACTATCAATTTACATGATGCGGAGGGTGACAATGGCCAACAAAATCCGTAAATCCAATCGACCTAGCATCGGAAGTGTCTAACTGCTCATAGGCGACAAGCGATCGAGATATTTAATTTCCGTCCGCTTCGCGTCGTTTAAATACTTGCAACTCTGATTGCAGCCAATCGACTGTCACTGATTTCGCATCGCATCCGCATCCGCAGTGCGTACTTTCAGCTTCGATTGTTTGACACGCATCTCACTCAAAAGTCAGCGAGGACATCGACGAAGGGATGGCGCAACATACTAAATCGGTGTATGCTCTTAAACAGAGGGTTGCTGTGCCTTATGAGTCGGATGTTACGTCACTCGGCTTTGTTACGCGGCGTTAATCTAATTGAGTTGCACAGTGCTATGCACAGACTATCTGCTTGTAACAAACAAAATGCTACTGAGCGGATGCTGTGAGCTTCTGCCGACTTCACCCAGTCACTCATACTAAAACACTGTCGTTCGTGTGCGCAGTGACGGTGCCGGTCGTGCTGTTGGTCGCTGTAGTGGTGGTGTATACATGGTTGGTACCCTGTTCGGAAAAACATCTGTTGCAGCGCTCCGATTGTTAATGAGCCTAAATGTGAGTGATTTATGCAGAGTGAACACAAGCTCCGCCCTTCTCAGCTGATGGAAAGAGAGATTTAGTTTTTTTAATGATTTTCCTTGTACTCGTATTCATTAGGGATATGATGGTATATGTATATGTTAATATATTTGTACCTATGCGGGCTGCTATATGCGGCATCTTTTGACACACCATAACTACACTCGGTACTTAAGTTTAAAGGATCAGTATCACAATCTAATGATTTAATTTGTTTTCTCCTCGTTAGCAAATGTAATGGTGTGTTCCGAGTCGACTTTTTATTTTTTTGCATGCATCACTTTGCACGCCATTGCCCCGTACACTCATATATTGTACAAGGTGTGTCCTAAAAATAATCGAATTTGTATACATTAAAAAATTATACATAGAGTAAAATGCAAATCATATTATCATTGAAAGTTATTATCTATGGTATACAAAATAGGATAATTAGACTCAATAAAATGTTTGGAACGACCAACCAGTGCATGCATAGAGTTTTATGTCATTTATTCATTATTTCTTCCGCTCCTTACTTGCGGCTGCTTGAGTCATTGGTTTTCAATTGAAAATAGAAAATAGTCATATGTTGAAAGATCAGGCGAATACGGAGGGTGGTTGATGATAGAAATCCGTTGTATACCCTGAACAGGGTGTATTAAGTTTGCCACGCAGTTTGTGACACCCAGAAGGAAGCGTCGGAGACCCTGTAAAATCTTTAAATCATATACCATAAATGATCAGCACGACGAGCTGAGTCGATTTAGCCATGTCCGTCTGTCTGTATATACGTAAACTAGTCCCTCAGTTTTTGAGATATCGATCCGAAATTTCGTACACGTCCTTTTTTCCTCAAGAGGCTGCTCATTGTCGGCACCGCCATGTCAAACCACCGTAGCATATATTGGTGTAGTAAAAATAAATCCAATTATTATTTTTCTAATAGATGACGTTATTTATCTATATCTCGCGTTGTATAAGGGTCCGATCGGGTTCCGCTAGATGGCGTCAGAAAAATAACATTTCGTACTAAAAAAGCTCTTCTGGCAGTTTTGTGATTAATTGATTCAGTTTTGCTTGGGCACCAAAGCGAGCGTCAAAGATGGACACTACTCACGCGCAATTTTGGTTTCGTCGATTCCGTTCCGACAATTTCGATGTCAAAGATGCACCACGCACTAGAAGGCTAATTGTCGAACTGAATCGCAACAAAATCGACTCATTTCTGAAGCGGTTGAATGAAAAGTGGATCACGATAAAAAGTGGATCACTTACAACAACGTCAAGCGAAAACGGTCGTGGTCGAAACGCGGTGAGCCGACGGAAACGGTGGCCAAGCCAGGATTGATGGCCAGGAAGGTTTTGCTGTGTCTTTGGTGGGATTGGCAGGGAATTATCTGCTATAAGTTGCTCCCATATACCAAAACTCTTAACTCGCAACTGTACTGTCAACAATTGGACCGTCTGAAGGAAGCAATTGTCTAGAAGCGACCAGCTTTGGCTACTAGGAGAGGTTGTGTTCTATCAAGACCGCGCCAGTCCACACGCATCGATAGTGACTCGCCAAAAGCTCCGGAAGCTTAGTTCGGAGGTTCTTAAACATCCACCTTATAGTCCGGACCTGACACCAAGTGATTACGATCTGTTCCTGTCCATGACGAATAATCGACAGTCTCAATTTTTTGCCAATAGGAACAAAGGTTTCTATGAGAGAGGCATAATGAAATTACCCATAAAATGGCAACAAGTTATCGAACAAAACGGCATGTATGTATTTGACTTAAGTCGGATCATTCTAACAATGTAATTAAAGCCTTTGATTTCATGCAAAAATAATGGATTTCTTTTTACTGCACCTATATAGCTGCCATAGAAACTGAACGATCGAAACAATGTGCTTGTATGGAAAACTTTTTCATTTGACGAGATATTTTGACGAAAGATAATGGTGCAATCTCCGAAGAAATTGTTTAGATCGGACTACTAAAGCATAAATCTGCCAGACAAACAGACCGATCAAAATCAAGTTCTTTTAAAGAATCTTTTATATTTGGGAGGGGCATTATAGTTTCGGTGCAACCGAAGTTAAGATTTTGCCTTGTTTCTTCAAAAACTCGTTCACTTTTTTGGTCTTCATTTAATTCATGTGGAACAAGACGAGCACTGAAGTTTCTTTTACCCAATACTTCAGTTGAAATACTCCAAATAGTCTCTTTACTCGTACTTAAATAAGTTCGATGTATGTTTTTGTATGAGTTCGTTGACATTGAAGCGAAGCAAAGCAAAGCGAAGGAAAATGTTGACCTACTCTCGTCTTTTTACGCTTTGCCAAGCAAAAGTCTTATTTTTATTAGAGATAAACACTGGAAGCAAATCATTCATTCGGGCATATCCTTTGTTTTCTTCACTTCGGTGTTAAAGTATTAAGTATAAATTAAACTTTTTTCATCAATTCGTGTGTCTCAATGATTTTTTTTTCAAGTTTTACACAAAATATTGTATTTGTTCTTTGTAAAAATGGAACAACCTCACTCTTTTTCTTTTATTGAAATGTCTGTAACTTTATCGTCTGTAATCCGCTTTAGATGAAGTCAGGTGCGTTTGTAAAAGGATAAATGTATCTTTTTAATGCTGCAAATTTTCAATAGATAGCGCTGCATGTTGTGTGATTTAAATATAAAATTCGGTTAGTTTTAGGACACACCTTTCTATGTATTATATATAGGTGTTTTTAGGGAGGCCGACTACGAGTATGTGAAGTACGCCATCACTCCGCCTCTGTACGAGCGCCTCCAATGTCCACCGAGCGTATTGCGGAGGAGAGCATTAAAGAGCATTTTTTGTATGAAGTTTTGCACTTCACGCCCACAAGTCCCGACCATCCCAGCGCCTCCGCTTCTAGCTATCTGATTTGAAGGATGTGAGTAATTGTCAAATTATTTAGCGAAAAATTTGTTTGTTTAAACGCATGGTTGCCCGGCAAATGGATTTCTCGTTTTTTTTTTAAAGTACTTCCTGAGTTTGTCATTGTTGTTGTTAGTTGTTTTTGTTTAGGCTTCCATTCACTTGTTGTAGCCACACACAATGTTGATCAGCATATGCGCAGTCATGTGAGGACCAAAAGGTATATGGCTTGGTGTCGGTAAGTATCTGTCTGCTTATGTTTTTTTAGCGGCACATATTTTTGTTTTTTTGTCATCGCTTATAATGGGTAGCTGGCAGGCTAGATAGCGATTTGTCTGCCAGTTGTTGATGCTTGAATACGGTTTTCTTTGTAGTGTTGCCAATTCCCGTTGAACGTAATTTAATTGCCAAATAACTACATAAATGCCACATATAACATACACCCATAAGCACATTAATGTTTACACTCACACACATTCCGGAGCATGCTCATATGTTAATTGGGTAACGTTTGCGTCGGATAATTAATTAAAATTCACCATGCATTACCATGTAAACTTGCAATATCCACACGCACATACCCTAGCATCTTTAGTGTGTGTATTGAATTCAAATTTGTAATAATTAAAGGGGTTGACAACGCACCACTCATGCAAGGTTTCAATGATTCGCCTAATTTTTCTCTACCCAAAGTAATTTTTTACAATAAATAAGTGCAGTTTTTAATTTTAGAAAAAATGTGGATATCCATGTAGGTGTAGGTCGTTTGAATAATATCAGAGGGTTAGTTGTAGTTAGCACGAATTAGGTTAGTCTTACCTCAAGAGATTTATAATGCAGTGATCACTGAAAAAACTCTTTTCCTAGGGGTGAAGAGCAAACCCATTTTTAACGGCTAGCCTTGTGTAATATCTGGAATAGTGCACTTATTGAAGACGTTTTAACAAATACGCTTTATTCAAAAATCACTGATATATCCAGCCTAAAACATACTGAAACTCCTTTCAATGCAATTGTGAAAAAAACCAAAGTTAAATTAAATCTCGTCTATAATGATATTCCTTTCTTTTAACAATAAAATAAGAAGCCAGTATTATTGTATTTTTAATGAATTTTACGGTAATCTTGAATACAAGTGAGGTAATATTTATGATGAGAGCAACTGTTTTGAAAATTGTTATATTTGTATTTTTATCTTTATGTACTTATAGTAGATTTGTTTCTAGACTATAATTTTTCTTAATCTAATAATATTTTAATAGGTTTTTTTTGTACGTGAGATCAAGGTGAATTCAATAAATCATTCTTCAGTTATAAATGGTGTTGGATAATACAAGTATATTTTAAAATAAGAATATATAAATTTTATATGATTGTGAAATGCACAATTTCGGAAGATAAATTTAATCAAAAATTGTATTTATTCACTATTTTGATTATCATTACGAATAATCTGCTAAGCTCAAATTAAATGAATTATCTTAGTACTACTGTATCATTCCATTAATTCCTTATTCAATTTAAGTGATTTATTATTAACTCTGACGACTTAAGTGACTTATACATAAAACCATATACGACTATTTATGCAGTATTTAGCTTAATTGCCCTGCAAAATTTTAAATGGCAACCCTATTCAATCTCCCGCATAAGCTTAAAACGTTCGAATACTCGAATACATACTTGGCTGCTATCGTTCTCTATCGCATAAACTTATAAATCATTTTTTGTGTATAACTGCATTTAGTGAATTACTGAAGCTGAACAATAACGACAAGCGCACAGCAAGTGACGCAACGGCTAACAACGCAAACGAAAATGGATATCTAAACGAGGATAACTACAACAACCGTGGCGGTGCGCTAGTGGTGGTGTGATAACAACGAAATAGGATCCCCATAATACTAAAATGAAACAAAGAATCAAATAAAATAAATGACAAAAAGTTGTAAAAAATGAAAAACCTACGCTTGATTACAAAAAAGAGGA